AGGCCTTCTTCTTAGAGATGATCTTGATAGCTACCATGACCCTCTCCTTTATGTGGTAAGCCTCATACACGGTCCCATAGGAGCCAGTGCCAATGACCTTGCCCACATTATAATTGTACTCCTCCAAGACAGAGCCATATGATGTGTTTGGTACTGCCTCCATGCTGTCTCCCTTCCCCACAGTGTTAGGCTTGCTAAGAGAAGGGTGCTCTGCCGCTTAGAAGCCTCTGTGTCCTGTGAGGCAGTGCCTTGGGCCACAAAAAGCTAGGGTACCAAAGTGAAGGTAGTTTCCAGATGCTTGCCTATATAGTCACACAAGTCTGGGATGCTGGGCTCAGCCCTCCACTAAGAGCTTGAAGGGGCAAATAAGAGAAGCAGTTCTTTTGTCTCCACTGGCTGTTTTTACTTCTTCCCCTTGGATATGGAACTCCCCGAGGTCTCAAATTCTATACACATCACAATCCCTCTCCCATCTATCAACGGTCACATAGTTTGAAAATGAAATGCAGTTTGGAAAATATTCATTCCCAGAATGTTCTGCAAGTTGGTGAGATGCCACCATGGATGTTCCCTCTTTATTTATGTTGACTCAGCACTTTCTATGTCTGTATAGTAGGCTGAATACTAGGATATATTGAACAGTAAGGTTAAGGTATCTATGATTCCAGACTTTACAGTCCACCATGAAAAACACCAGAGTGTATGTATATCTTGTATCTGTAGTCATTCCAAAACCTCATGTGCTCATAGGTGGAGCTTTTCAGAGGTGGCTGGATCTAGGCTGTGATATTGGGACTAAGCATGTATGGTGCTGGTTCTGGGTATAGATAATGAGATGGCCCACCCTGGGTGTGGGTGACTCAACCCAAAAGCTTATAACCTGGATTGGATAAAAGAAAAAGCAAGGCTTGCTGCTTCCTGCCTACCTTCCATGGACTGTGTCTCTTCTGCCATGCCACCCTGCCTTGGAACTCGTCAACTGAAACTCTACAAGCCGTGAGTTATAATAAATCTTTTCTCCTTTAACTTGTGGGTGTTGGATATTTTGTCTCCACAATGAAAAAGTAATTAAGACTGTGTATTACAGAAAATTGAAGGTATTAAGAGCATACTCTAGCAATTTAACTTTGAGATGCACTGACTTTCCATGTCCCTGAATTTTCTAGTTTTCGTCAGCCCTCTGGTTACAATGGAGTTGTATCTTTCTCTATTTCCTTTTTTTTTTTTAAGTGTTCCTTGGGATTGAACCAAGTCCTTGCGTAGGTTAGGAAAGCACTGTACCACCAAGCTATATCCCCACCTTCTCCTTCTACATTTTAATCATATTCCAAGGGTTTTAGCAGTGATTTGACTCTTACATTTTTCCTTAAGGATTTCATCCACTCACTAGCCTTCACTTACTACAGTTATGCTTACTGCTCCTAATCTCATCTCTACTGTAGATATACCTCTGGAGTTCAAGATGCAGTGTTCTTTTTTTTTTTTTTTTTTTTTTTTTTTGGTATTGGGGATCAAACTCAGTTCCCTGTGCTTGCAAGATGCAGTGTTCTTGTGCTTACATTACATGGACATATCTTTCCAAGCCACTTCAAACTCACCATGTCAATTGAACTTCTCATTTTTGCTCTTAGCCTTACCCCTTTTAGAATTTCTACTCTAGTTGTGTTTTTGAGACACAGGTTCTCACTATGTAGTTCAGGCTGGCCTGAAACTCATGGTGATCCTCCTGCCTCAACCTCCTGAGTACGTGCACTACAGGTGTGTCACTGTGCCCAGCTAGTTGTCCTGTCTGGTCTTCTCATCCTGAAGTCCAAGACATAAAACTAAGCTTATTCTCACTGGAAACAACTCACTGTCTTCCCAATTTCCTCAGGATCAAATCACATTCACATTTGGCTTTAAAATGACCCTGTCTATCCCTCCAATTTTATCATTTAACCATATATAATGTGTCATCCAAACAGAATTGCTTTTTCATCTTTGTTCTCCTGGCAAACTCCTACTGCTCCTTGAGAACTTAGCTGTGGAGCTGTTTTAAAGAAGCCTTTACTGATCAAGCCAAAGGTGTTCCTCTCTTCTGGGTTCTCCCACAGCCCCGA